TCTCCATTTGATTTAAGTGTACTGACCTACTTTTGATTTATTCATCCAAATTTTGACAAAATCATTACGCGTTATACAGTAAATTACATTTTTATGACTGGATTCCCGCGATTCTGTCCATGTTTTCCGCATTGAAATCAAACTTTGTGTGACAAAGAAAGGTTAGTTTAGGTTGTAAAATGTCATGTGGTGCAACTTCCAAAAATTTTATAATATTTATTATTTAACAAGTATTGTTAAAAAAACAAATATGACTATTTCTTATTTTTCCTCTGTGTGTAAACTTTAAAAACTTTTTTTTTTGAGAGTTTGTATGAATTAAACATGCACTATATTCTTACAACCTACAGCATGATGTCTCCCCGATCAGGAATCAGGACTCCCCTAAAATATGCGAATTGAAGCATGCACTGGATCTTTAAAGGACAGAGATAATCTCATCTGTCCTGCCATCTTCAGTTCATGATGAACGCCACCTCATTCACACTGAATCTCTCCAGTTTAAGCAACGGGACAGATGTGGCGGTCTCTGGTCCCGTCACCTGGAGGATGGCCATGATCACTTTCATAACCGTCCCACTCTCCATCATCACCATCATAGGCAATGTCCTGGTCATGATCTCTTTTCGGGTCAACCCGCTCCTGAGGACAGTGAGCAACTACTTCCTCCTGAGCTTGGCCGTGGCCGACTTCATTTTAGGCGCCGTCTCGATGAACCTCTACACTACCTACATCCTGATCGGCCAGTGGACTTTAGGAAACCTCGCCTGTGATGTGTGGCTGGCTTTGGATTATGTGGCAAGCAACGCCTCTGTTATGAACCTGCTGGCCATCAGTGTCGACCGCTACCTCTCTGTCATGCGACCTCTGACCTATCGGGCCACTAGAACGCCCAGAAGAGCGGCGGTGCTGATTACTCTAGCATGGATCATCTCGTTTGTGCTTTGGGCTCCAGCTATTTTGTTCTGGCAGTATATAGTGGGTGAACGGACTGTTCCAGAAGGAGAGTGTTCAGTGCAGTTCCTGTCTCAGCCTGTGATCACATTCGGGACGGCCATCGCTGCATTTTACCTGCCGGTGAGCGTGATGGTGGCGTTGTACTGGCGTGTGTACCGTGAGACAGAGAAACGCTCTCAGCAGCTCGCTGGACTCATCGCTTCACAGGGAGGACGCACGGGAAACACATCTCAGGTGGGTTTCAAGTGGACTCGTCCATTATTTTACATTTTAGGTCAGTAAAAGTTTCTTTGTTAGCATCAGCGGTTCCATGAAGAACCTTTAACACCATGGAACCTTTCCATTCTACAAAACGTTCTTTATAGTGGATAAAAAGGTTTTTAGATTTAGAATGTTCTTTACACTATAGGAGAAAAAAATTATTCTTTTAAGAGCTGTTCACTGAAAGGTTCTTAAGGGAATCAAAAATGGTTCTGCTGGAGAAAAAAAAACACCTTTGGGCTGTACATTTTTTTTTTTTTTAAATACAATTAACGCAGCATCCGTTTTTTCAATTTATAGTTTATGTGAAGATTGTTTTAGGTTCACTCAAATTAAAAGTTGTTATACTTTTCAAAGCCTATTTAATGTTACAAATTATGGTTTTCAATTATACTGTAACGTTGAATGGCTATAATTAATGGCTATATTTGAGGCAAAAATGCTTTTAATAGAGACATCAGGCTATTGGTATCAATTATACTGGTCCTCATTAAAAATAGGCTACTTAGTAAAAAGATGCCTTTAAACATCTATTTAAAATATACCTTTATGTTGTGTCTATTTGTTTGGAGATTCAATGTGGAATTATGACAATGTGATTAATCATGATTAATTACAGAAAAATGTGATTAATTAATTTTTTTTAATTGATTGACAACACTAATATATATATGTATATACATGTGTGTGTGTGTGTTTCCAAATACAAAATACAAATTCTTTCCAATAGGTTATTCATTTGCAGTTACGTACTTTTTAATAATTTGTTTTAGTTAATTTTAGTTAAATTATGGCCACAGTGTAACAATTTACTTGCCATTTGCTTTAACTAAAACAAGGGAATCATTTAGTACAATGTGGTCATGATTTATCTAAAACAAGGGAACAAGGCAAGGCAAGTTTATTTGTATAGCACATTTCATACACAATGGTAATTCAAAGTGCTTTACATAAAATAAAATAAAAACAATAATCACAACAATAAAACAAGGAATTTAAAAACAAATTAATAAGTCTTAATTTGAGACTGAGTGGGGAAAAGCAATAATTGAAAGCTCTTACCAAGAAAATTAAGACGGGAACATACTGTAACAGGGTGAATATAGAGAGCTAAAGTTTTATATTTTAATGTTATCATAATGATTCAAATACATTTATGTAACAGGGTGTAACGTTGTAAACTGAGACAAACAAATACCTATTCAAACAAAATATCACAGAATTAAAAAAATCTATTTCTAATAATTACTAATTGTTTTTCCACCTAAAATGACATCACATCTCAGAGGATGATATAAGGAACTGGATTTATTTTACCTATATATATATATATATATATATATTCCCAAGAAAAATTATGGTTTCGAAAAAGCAATAAGGTACAGACCAGCCATGATGTGTTACATGTTATTGCTAGTGAGAGCCAGTGTTATTTTAGTACCATTTATGTACTATTATAGACTTTATTAATATTTTGAGTTTACTTTTTTAAAAATAATTTTTATGTCATTTTCTTATGTTTTTGTAATTCTTTATTTTTATTTCAATTTTAGTTTTAGTCATTTTAGTACATCAACTTAAACTTATTTCAGTTAGTTGCCAAGGCAAAAATCTTAAATGAAAATTGAAAAGAAAATTATATAGATATTACTTTTAAAGTTTTTTTCCCAGCTTTATTTTAATTACTGAAAACATTTTAAAAAAATCATTCTAGAGACCTTTTATTGGACAAAAATATGTATAAAACCATAATTTTGGTCCATTTTGCTCATAGAATATTTGTATTTCTGATAAAAGCATAATTTGTTATTGTTGTTAATGAACATTAGCATATGCTTGACCCTGAAGCTAACAGACATGGACAACAAGAAACAAACTACTCCTTTGGAGTTCAAGTGGTCATTAAATAAGCTTAAAATAATTCCAACTGAAGTAAACTAATACATGCCATTTGTACTGAAGAAATAGCAAAGACGTTGTGTGTTTACATTACATTTGTGCCATATATTTGATGTCTCCTAGAGATCCTGTCACAGCAATTCTCACAGCGTTGAAGACGTCAGACCACAAACAGACCAGAACCAGCACAAGAAGACACACAGCGCCATCTGTCCAATCATCACCCACCGGACAGCAGCGTGGTGGAAGAAACGAAGGGAAAGAGACGAGACGTCCAACTCATGTACCACATACAGCCATCCACAGATGCACACGGACTGCGTTTCTCCAACTCCAGACGACAATAACAAATACATTCCACTCGTTCGGATGGATAAGACCACAGTCAGTAATCTTCCCAATGACTGCGATGCCACCAAGAGGAGCTGTGAGTCAGCTGTGAATTCTCCTATGAACCCTATAACCACGAGTGCCATGCAAGCTCCCGCTCGATCGCTGGCCCGCAGAGCCCGGACCTCGGGCCTGATCAGGGAGAAGAAAGCGGCCCGGACCCTCAGTGCCATTCTCCTGGCTTTCATTGTAACATGGACACCCTACAACATCATGGTCCTGGTGTCCACTTTCTGTGACGACTGCGTTCCTGAGGGCCTGTGGCAGCTGGGATACTGGCTCTGCTACGTCAACAGCACGGTCAACCCCGTCTGCTACGCGCTCTGTAACAAGCACTTCCGGGTCACATTCAGGGCGCTGCTGCTCTGCAGGTGGAAGGAGCATAAGAAGGGGATCAGATGGAGCCCGGCGGGAAATGGCTGATTGCATCATGACGTTTATTAAGAGTTGGGGTTTCTCTTCATGATAGCAGCGATTCAGCACTGGTTGATAAATGCTGATCTTTATTATGATGCCAAAGAGCATGTGGGCTTGAAAAGATCCTAGAGATCAAAGTTGTGCATCAAATGTATAAAGTTCAGACCAGCTGTTTGTGAAATTGTATCTTGGCAGGGCATGTAGCAGTTTTTCAATTTGAATGGCCTTACTTGACGCATTCAAAATATAAAATGTAGCAGCTGGGTGTGTTTATCAAGCAAAAACTCTTTAACGCTCTGGTATTGTCCGGTCCGAAAAATTATGTTTTGGTTTTTAATTTTTTTTTTAAATTCATGTTAATGGTACAAAACTTGGTTTTGGCACTTATGTGAAAAAGAATTAATCATGGACCCGATTCGAAAAGGTTGAATGGTCCTGAAAAAAGTAGTCACTTGTTTGCGTCGCATTTGTGCATTTTTCATTATAAACTTAAACTTCTATAACTTTAGTTTAACTTTTTTTTTTCCCACTCAAGTGAAGTGCCAAGTGTCTTCTTTAAAAAGAGACTTAACTTAAACTTGCACCTAAGCGTTCAAGATTTACAACAATTTTAAGTTGGAAATGTCTTTCTTTTTCAGGTCTATGCTCAAAAAGTGGTAATAAAGGATCATAACTATTTCATAAATGTAATTTAGTACCATAAAATCCCCTAAAAAATTAAAGAACACTATAAAACTAAAATATAGCACATTCATTTCATTGAAAAAAAAAAAACTAGAGCTGTAGACATGAAATTAGAAGTGACGGTAGAGTGAAAATTATGTAAAAATATAATTTGTCATGCCGCATGATATAAGCTCTTAAATTAGAATTATATACATTTTAATCGAAAATCTTGATAGTAAAAAATATGCATTTTGCATATTTGCTTTTCTCATGCCTATTATTTCACATGTGGACGTTTTACAGGGTCTCAAGAGTTAAATACACATAATTAAGATGAATTTCTCTGTCACATGTATGTTTATTATGGAAAGGCCAATATGAAAAATGTAAATAAAAAAAAGACCGAAAAATACAGCATTTACATTTAATACCAAAAACAAATACAAAACGATACAGTACTCACGATAATTCAATATGGTTAGTCAACAATAATAGATACTGGTTATATCACATACAAAATTCTGCTACGAAAGATAACCCGCCTTATGAGAGTGTTTTTAGAATTAAAATGATAAGTGAAACCAGAAAATGCTGAAAAAAAACAACAATATGATCATAAAAATAAAAATACAGCACCGTCTTCTGGTTTTTGAATCTGGACCGTGGCACAAATACTTCCTGAACGAACAACTTACAAGAAATAATTATATACGATAAAGAGAGATACACTTCTTGTACAAATGAATATTTAAATCCATAACATCCTTGAAGGATCAAGTCATATGTTTGCTCTATGTAAACAAATGTATCTTGAGTGAGTCATAAAGACAAAATAAAAAAAGAATTATTTGGCAATGCATAAACAGGTGCTTAATCATCTGAACCATTGGCCCTAACATCAAGGAATGTGGAAATACTGCTCATAATGCATGAAGTGTATTATAATCCATTTCAAACTTCTCCTTTGTGCACTCTTTCATTTCAAACACTGCTTGTGATGCGTGTAACAGTTAGTGAAATAAAAACAAACAAAATGAAGACAATGGCTACATTAGGGCCAATGATTTCTCTTTCTACGTCTGCATCATTCTGTAAAATCTCACAACATTCTCAATGCATTTCTGTGTGGATGTGTGGGCTGCGCATTCTTCATGGTAGACTGTTTTCATGGTCACTCCATCGCGGGGTTTTGGCTCTGATAAATGGAGGCCTTGTCCTTCAGAAGAGCCAGACACAGGTGGCAACTCCAGCTTCCTAGAAACACGATTAAATCCAAATATTAATCATCAGTGGCAATCGCATAACTTTAACTACTACCAACTAAAATGGCAATAAATGCATAAACTTAATGCATAACCGTTTTGGTGTCAAAGACGTGGCTTCACATTACTCCTCATGCAATGCTATTGCACTGCATCACAAGACTTGGACTATAGCACAACAGTCAGTAGTGTGGCATGCAAAACTTAATATTAATTCTAATGTCGTGTCCCAGTCATTTTGACACAGAGAGTATTTTCATTTCCCCAAAAATGCTAGCTACTATGGAAGCCCATTTGGGCCACTGAAAAAAAAAATAAAAAAGGTAATCTCACGATTCTGATTTTTTTTCTTCTTCTCGCAATTCTGACTTCTTAGACTTGTGAGATATAAACTCTCAATTGCAAGTTATAAAGTCCATTTCTGAGGGAAAAAAAGTTTATTTCTCTGAATTGTGACTTTATAATATATACAGGTGCATCTCAATAAATTAGAATGTCGTGGAAAAGTTCATTTATTTCAGTAATTCAACTCAAATTGTGAAACTCGTGTATTAAATAAATTCAATGCACACAGACTGAAGTAGTTTAAGTCTTTTGGTTCTTTTAATTCTGATGATTTTGGCTCACATTTTCTGTGTGTGGTGGCTCTTGATGCCTTGACCCCAGCCTCAGTCCATTCATGTTGAAGTTCACTCAAATTCTTGAATCGATTTTGCTTGACAATCCTCATAAGGCAGTTCTCTCAGTTGGTTGTGCATCTTTTTTCCCCACACTTTTTCCTTCCACTCAACTTTCTGTTAACATGCTTGGATACAGCACTCTGTGAACAGCCAGCTTCTTTGGAAATGAACGTTTGTGGCTTACCCTCCTTGTGAAGGGTGTCAACGATTGTCTTCTGGACAACTGTCAGATCAGCAGTCTTCCCCATGATTGTGTAGCCTAGTGAACCAAACTGAGAGACCAGTTTGAAGGCTCAGGAAACCTTTGCAGGTGTTTTGAGTTGATTAACACTATCTCAACCATATTCTAATTTGTTGAGATAGTGAATTGGTGGGTTTTTGTTAAATGTGAGCCAAAATCATCACAATTAAAAGAACCAAAGACTTAAACTACTTCAGTCTGTGTGCATTGAATTTATTTAATACACGAGTTTCACAATTTGAGTTGAATTACTGAAATAAATGAACTTTTCCACAACATTCTAATTTATTGAGCTGCACCTGTATAATCTGAATGAATAAAAATGAGAAATTAATTAATTGCAATTTCTCTCACAATTCTGAAATTTTTTTGCAATTCAGATTTTTTTTTCTCAGAATTGCGAGAAAAAAGTCAGAATTGTGAGATAAAGTTGCAATTAATTAATTTCGTAGTTTTTTTATTCAGTGGCAGAAAGCCCATAAGTAACGGTTATGGCAGTAACAGTATCCCCCCCCCCCCCCCCCCCCCAAAAAAAAAACTTTTTTTTTTTTAACTTCAAAAATGTTGATGTTAAAAACAAAATGCTTTTTTTATGCACATTTTTCACATGTTAATGTTTTACTGGTCCTTTATGGATCTTACAGCTATAGTACTGAAGTAAATTTCAGTGCTGACTTTCTTTTTGTACTATGCTGGTGGCGGTCATAAAAATATGTGGTTTTTGCATGTATACAAACATATGGACCACTTTTATGGTATTCAAAATGGTGCTTTTTTTGGCCATTTTTGGAGACTGTTAGACTTAGCCCCTTTCAGAAGGGCTTTGGCAAATCCTCTTTAATAGCCTTTTCAGCTCATAGAGCTAATCATTAATTCACCTCTCGGCCTCTAATATTCATGGGAAGTCTGATTCATCTCCACGAACCTGTTCTTTCGGATGGCTTGTTTCTATGAATCGATTCAAAAATACGACTACAGCTGTTCTTTTACATTGTTGTTTAATGTTGACGTGTTCACATACAACTCGGTGTTGTGGTATGTCACACTAAAACGTTTAAATAAAGCCATAGGTAATCATAACCTTTCATAACCTTTTGTTGTCACCGTTTCACTCAGTGATCCTGCACATCAAATAGCTCACAACTGACATATACTGATTAGCCTATATTTTGGACAAGTTCCCTACAATAAAGACAAACATACAATAAAGTCCATTAATTAGCTTAAAGGGTGAAATTGGCTTGTTCTGTTGTCCAAAATGGTTTTGAGCACCACTCTGTACTGCAAGAAGAGATAACAGATGCTGATAATAATCAATGAATACAAAGGAAGTTTAAAAGGAAGTAAGCCTTCATATCATGTAGTCACAGTGAGATTAAGTGAACACGTTCTACCAATCTATAAAGAAAAAAGGAGAATCGAAAACAACAGTGAAAAATCGATTCCAGACCCAGGAATCGGAAATGATTCCAAACATTCTGGAATGGAACAGCCCTTAAGGTGCAACATTTCTTGACAATTTCTTTCTTTTTGCATTTAATGGAAGAGAGAAAAAAGTCATATGAGGCTGAGTAAACGATGATAAAAGCGTACCTTCTGGAGGGTCTGACATGGGAGGGCTGAGGCAGTACATGTGGTATCCTCTGTCACAGTCATCACAGAACAGAAGCTGGTCCTGCAGAAGAGGATTTAAACACATTCACAGATGGTTTCGTGCAGTGTTGGGGGTAACGCATTAAAGTAACGGGAGTTACGTAATCAGATTACTTTTTTCCAAGTAACGCAATACTGTAATGCATTACTTTAAAAAGTAACTTTCCCCAGCACTGGCTTTGTGTGTGAGAGGTTTGTTTGAGTGATCATGTGAGGAGACTCACGTCATTCTCAGATGTGCCACAAACGTTGCAGCACTTGCACTCAATGCACTGCCAGCGGTAAGTCTTCACAGCTGCCATCATCACGGCGGTGAACTGCAGGCACGTAGGATGTCCTTAAGAGGCATGAGAGAAGAAAAAGCCATGTGTGAATTCTGTGTGTCTCAGCGTGGAGGTTTAGAGTTTGTTCTGTGTCTCTTGTGTCGTACCTGAACGTCCACAGTCAGAGCAGGACACCAGTTCCTCCGACTGGCCTGTTTTCTGGTTCATGTTGGAGTCGCCCAGGCAGAAGTCACAATAGTCATTGGGTAACGCCAGGCCATCTGGTCCTTTCTTAGGGGCTGTAAAAAAAAAAAACAGAGGATCAGATGAAACCGCTTTCATTAATGTTATGACTGGCAGGAATATCCAAATCGAAGCAGTAATCAATGTGGTCGTAACAAAAGTTACTAATATTTGTAATGTCATATACAATATCCTTAAAGGGGTCATATGATGCGATTTTAATTGTTCCTTTCTCTTTGGAGTGTTACAAGCTCTTGGTGCATAAAGAAGATCTGTAAAGTTGCAAAGACTAAAGTCTCAAATCCAAAGAGATATTCTTTATAAAAGTTAAGAGTCAACCCCGCCTACCTAAAACGGCTCGTTCTAACACGCCCCCACATATCTACGTCACGATGTGGGAAGATTTGCATAACGCCGCCCAAATGTTCACGCAAAGAAAGAAGGCATAACTTTTATTCTCGCTGTAGTATTGTTGCTGCTGCCGCCGCCACCATGTCATGAAGGCGCTGTGTGCTTCGTTGTGAAAGCGAAACTACTTTGTTTGGTCTTCCAAAAGAGGACAAGACTAGAAATCAGTGGTTAAGTTGTATTTACAACACTGTTCCAGAACAGTTCAACCCAAATATTCAGATGTGTGCAGCACATTTTATGGAGGACTGTTTCCTGATCCTGGAAGAGTAGACTACAATGCCGGCTGTTCTGACTCACAGACTGTAAGTACGTTTTTTATATTTAAAGAATTTGCCACTGATCATTCAAACGCGAGTTTTGAGCAGTGTAGACAGCAGTGTAACAACAAGTAGCACTTGTTGTTTGTCATTTCTCCAAACACAAATGCAGACATGGTTTTATGTTTACGCGGCGCGATGCAACACAACACATAAAAAGACAGTATAAGTCATTATAATCCGTAATTATGTCCCCACTGGATGCAACAAATGCCTCGTTTATTATGGGTTTTAATGTTTTTGTCTCGTCGCTCCGGCCGGACAGGGCATCACAGAATGGTGAGGGGCGTAACATTTCCGTCACACGCTTGAGGTATTCGGCCAATCACAACGCACTGGATAGCTGGCCAATCAGAGCACACCTCGCTTGTCAGACCGATGAGCTTTGTAAAAATCTACGCGTTTCAAAAAGGCGGGGCATAGAGGAGAAACAATAATGTAGAGTATGTGGAAAATAATGTGTTTAACCTTAAACCGCATAAACATTACATTACACCAAATGCACAAAATAATGTTCTTTTTAGCAACATCATATGACCCCTTTAAGTCACTAGGATCTAAGAATATCTAACTCTTAAATGTTGTATAAAGGGTGGGGTTCAAACAGTACATCTTGTACTCGTTAAATCCTATAAATTGATGATGCACAACAATATAAGTGATGTGTCAGGAGTGCACTTTAAATAATGCTGTGTGTAGTAGAAATGAAACGGCATGAAAATTTCATATCACGATTATAGCGACCAAAATGACCATGGTCATAAATATAATCACGTTATTGTTAAAACTTGTTGGAAACTTTCTAAAATCAAACTTAGAAATATTTCAGTTTCAAACCATGAAGGCGAGCCAGTGCACTGATATCACACAAACAATGTGCAAACTGCATGAAACTTTTCTTAAGACAGTCGGTTCCCCTTTATGCAATTAATTAATTTCATCATTCACTCTGCCTTCAGTCATGTTTTCCCACAAAACCAAACCTACACGCATGCTGTGCCTGCATCAATCCGTTACTAACTTTGCTTAATGCTTTTCAAATCGTGGTAATCAAATACGGTTTTAATGCTAATTAAAATATGACAGGATAAAACTAACCGTCGGGACTTTTTCTCATGGTTTATCATCAAACCGGTAACCGTTTCATCCCTACCGTGTAGCCATCATGAATGAACTCACTCTTGGGTTCCTCTGGTGGCGCAGGCGTGTGAATCTCAGGTTCTTCTCTGTCCTCTCCCTCCTCGTCAGCCAGGTGAGAGTGAGTGTAGTGGTAACTCAAACCTGGTCTGTTTTTATAGCGTTTCCCACAGACTAATAAAAAGAAAACATTTCAAATTAAAGCACTAGTGTAAACAGGATTATCATTGCTATTTCAACGAAGGTTTTCAATGTACTAAAGCTCCCTCTCCAGACGACAGAAACCAATGATGGAATCTAAACTGCAAACATGAATCGTTCAGAATTCATCTGTTTATGATATCGACATCAAAACAATGAGAACAATAACGTGATTGCTCAAATTGCGTTTACTGCAACAGCAGCAGTACACAGACGTTGAGTCATTTACATACACTACCAAGTCTCTTCTGCTCACCAAGGCTGCATTTATTTAAACAGAAACACAGTAAAAACAGTAATATTGTGAAATATTATTACAATTTAAAAGAACTGTTTTCTATGTGAATATATTGTAAAATGTAATTTATTTCTGTGATGCGCAGCTGTATTTTCAGCATCATTACATCAGTCTTCAGTGTCACATGATCTTCAGAAATCATTCTAATATGCTGATTTGCTGCTTATAAACATTTCTTCTTGTTAAAAACAATTGCGCTGCTTAATATTTTTGTTCAAAAGTGACACATTTTCAGGATTCTTTAATGATTAAAGAGTTCAAAAGAACAGCATTTAAAATAGAAATGAGAACATTTACTGTTACTTCAATAAATAAATAAACTACTGACCCTAAACTTGTGAATAGTAGTGAACCATAGTTTACCATAATAAAAACAAACACCCAATTGAACTGAATGTTGCCTAAAACCGAATACAAATTTTTGGGCAAAAAATAACCATAATGCTACAAAAGAATGACTTTTTAAAACAAGTCACTTAAAATAACATGTGTCGCAACTCACTGTCACAAGCATATGGTTTGTCTCGATCTTCCTGGGCAGCTGCAGCAGCTTCCATTTTCTTTTTTCCATTTCCAACTCCTCGACCCTGGAGGATTAAAACAAGATTAAAACGAGATTAAAACAACATTTCCATAACACTATTCCTCCAGGCCATCGCACGTCTAAGAACTATCACACCAGGAGATAATAAATGGCTAATACTGCATCAATATTCAACTACTTAAAGGCACAATATGTAAGTTTTCGCCGCTAGAGGGCGCGCATTCACAACAAACAAAGAGACAAAGGCGTAGTTTGATGACATCTTCGCTGAGTGTGGAATCATGGGAGTTGTGGTCTTCATCTCCGCAGCTGAAGCAATCCGATGGGACTCGGGCAGAAATCATGTTCATGGATGAGCTAATGATTTGTTAACATAGTAGAATGAAGCAGGGTGAGGCTGAAAGCCGTCAGAGCGAAACGAGGCCGCTGAACGAGCTTGACACGCGGCTGGAAAGCAACGGGGCTATTATGCCACAGTCGACCGCTTCCGCTGCTTCCGGTCGTACGTATGTGGGGTAAAGCAGCAGAGCTTTTATTATGCCACAGTCGACTGCTTCCGCTGCTTCCGGTCGTGCGTATGTGGGGTAAAGCAGCGGAGCTTTTATTACGCCACAGTCGAGCGCTTCCGCTGCTTCCGGTCGTGCGTATGTGGGGTAAAGCAGCGGAGCTTTTATTACGCCACAGTCGAGCGCTTCCGCTGCTTCCGGTCGTGCGTATGTGGGGTAAAGCAGCGGAGCTTTTATTACGCCACAGTCGAGCGCTTCCGCTGCTTCCGGTCGTGCGTATGTGGGGTAAAGCAGCGGAGCTTTTATTACGCCACAGTCGAGCGCTTCCGCTGCTTCCGGTCGTGCGTATGTGGGGTAAAGCAGCGGAGCTTTTATTACGCCACAGTCGAGCGCTTCCGCTGCTTCCGGTCGTGCGTATGTGGGGTAAAGCAGCGGAGCTTTTATTACGCCACAGTCGAGCGCTTCCGCTGCTTCCGGTCGTGCGTATGTGGGGTAAAGCAGCGGAGCTTTTATTACGCCACAGTCGAGCGCTTCCGCTGCTTCCGGTCGTGCGTATGTGGGGTAAAGCAGCGGAGCTTTTATTACGCCACAGTCGAGCGCTTCCGCTGCTTCCGGTCGTGCGTATGTGGGGTAAAGCAGCGGAGCTTTTATTACGCCACAGTCGAGCGCTTCCGCTGCTTCCGGTCGTGCGTATGTGGGGTAAAGCAGCGGAGCTTTTATTACGCCACAGTCGAGCGCTTCCGCTGCTTCCGGTCGTGCGTATGTGGGGTAAAGCAGCGGAGCTTTTATTACGCCACAGTCGAGCGCTTCCGCTGCTTCCGGTCGTGCGTATGTGGGGTAAAGCAGCGGAGCTTTTATTACGCCACAGTCGAGCGCTTCCGCTGCTTCCGGTCGTGCGTATGTGGGGTAAAGCAGCGGAGCTTTTATTACGCCACAGTCGAGCGCTTCCGCTGCTTCCGGTCGTGCGTATGTGGGGTAAAGCAGCGGAGCTTTTATTACGCCACAGTCGAGCGCTTCCGCTGCTTCCGGTCGTGCGTATGTGGGGTAAAGCAGCGGAGCTTTTATTACGCCACAGTCGAGCGCTTCCGCTGCTTCCGGTCGTGCGTATGTGGGGTAAAGCAGCGGAGCTTTTATTACGCCACAGTCGAGCGCTTCCGCTGCTTCCGGTCGTGCGTATGTGGGGTAAAGCAGCGGAGCTTTTATTACGCCACAGTCGAGCGCTTCCGCTGCTTCCGGTCGTGCGTATGTGGGGTAAAGCAGCGGAGCTTTTATTACGCCACAGTCGAGCGCTTCCGCTGCTTCCGGTCGTGCGTATGTGGGGTAAAGCAGCACTGTTTTATCATACTAGATACATTTGAAAGTTCTGTTATAATGCTACTCTGTGCGGTCGCCACCTGTCTAATAAAACGCACAACATATTAAAGCGTCTTTGGTGTTTCCATGTTTTCTACAAAACCGGAAATCGAGGGGTTAAGACGTCATTGGCAGGCGACACAATGACACTATAGACACGGTCCGTGCCACTAGTTAAAATTGCTTATTTCTCTGGATTTAAACATTCTTCGAAACATTTGGGATAATGTAAGTACACAAGTCAGCAAAATATATATAACACTGTTCTAGTGGTTTTTGGATATTTTAATAACAAATCTTACATTTTGTGCCTTTAAACAACAGCAGACTAGGCATGTTACCTTAGACTTTCCTTTTCCTCGTCTTTTTGGAGTCTCCTCCTCAAAATCTTCATCGTCCAGATCATCCAAGTAGTCTTCCGGCTCAAGGATCCTCTGAGAACGACAGGAAATGATCAGGCTATGCATTCATATAGGAATAAAATCCACCACTTGTGTGCTTATGCTACCTTCCTGATGCGTGTGGAGCCGCTGTGGCTGCTGGCCGTGCTGCTTCCAGTGATCTCAGCCAGACTGGTTTCTTCCTCAGGCGGTCTGAGCTCAGTGGGCACTCTTTTATCCAGCGGCTCTCCTTTCAGCAAGGCTTCCAGACTGCTCCCATCCACCGGCCCCAACACATCTTTCTTCATTCCCAGTTCCAGCTCAGCTTTGAAAAGATGCCATTTTTAATCATTTGCTTATGATTTACAATCTGATTTTAAATATTTTCTCTGACTTGTATATCTCAATCTATATTGTTTATATTTATTACGCCCGACATATGAAATAATAATCTTTTTTTTTTTTTTTAATGCAACAGATTATTTAACCTTTTGATAAAATCTGAGAAACAAAAAAGTTTGCACATGTGTTTTATGTTGAGTATCATTTTGATACAACAAGCTTTTATGGCCTATAATGTAGGAGAATATGGAGATGATATTAGATCAAAAATAGGATGAAAATTTGATAGCTTGTAATCGATGAGATCTTTATAACAATACTACTTACATAAAATGCATATAAATAATTGAAAAAATCTTAGTAAGATAGTATTTTTATGATCAAAGCTCTGAAGTTTTCTTATCAAAACATATAATGCAATGCAATACAATGATGTCTGAGATAAATAAACATTCCAGAAAGCCTGATGCATCATATTTGCATCATATATGTGACCCTGCAGCACAAAAGCAGTGTTAAGTCGCTGGGGGATATTTGTAGCAATAGCCAACAATACATTGTATGGGACAAAATTATTGATTTTTTTTAATGCCAAAAATCATTAGGATATTAAGTAAAGATCATGTTCCATGAAGATATTTTGTAAATTTCCTACCGTAAATATATCAAAACTTAATTTTTGATTAGTAATATGCATTGCTAAGAACGTCATTTGGACAACTTTAAAGGCTCATTATTTTGATTTTTTTGCACCCTCAGATTCCAGATTTTCAAATAGTTGTATCTCAAATATTGTCCTATCCCAACAAACCACACATCAATGGAGAGCTTATGCAGCTTTCAGATGATGTATAAATCTCAATTTCGAGAAATCAACTCTTATGACTGGTTTTGTGGTCCAGGTAACATGGTTTTTCGAAAAAATTAATAATCACGTAAACCTAAGTTGCTTCAGTCCATTAAGTGTTCATCTTGAAATATTATTCACAATATTAAAGTTACATTTACTATACAAAAGGAAGAAATTTGCTTATCAAAAACGATACAGTACGTGTTATAGAGTTAAACACAAGAACAGGAATAAACAGGCCTTGTTATAACAGAATACCAGCTTTGAGTGGAGGAAAGACCAGAGCAGGTTCTTCTGGTGGGTGAGCTCTTCTTTTCTTCCTCCAGCGCCGAGCAGGATATGTGTACAGCTGTCCCGGTGTGGTACCTTAAATAGAAATCATAAACAGAGTCTGTTAGGACACAGAGCTAGCTCGATTACTTACAAATTGTAGTCTGTTACTGATTCCAAATTACAAGACAAAAACTGTAGTTAGTAACGTAATCCATTACATTACACATATTAGGTAATATAATCAGACTACTTTTAGATTACTTTTGACCTAACTTGTTTATCACATTGATTTAAATAGAATACAATTTTGTACCATATTGATATAAAAATGCAAAGAAAATATGTTCCATGAAGTGCATTAAACATCACATTACATTATAAAGGTTCCCAAAGTGGGGTTCATGAAGGAACTGCAGGGGGTTTGAGAGCTTAATGAAAAGCAAATCATAAAAATGTAAAATTAATTTTTAAAATAACATCAATCAAAACAAAACTTACTAAACAAATTTTGTATTTTATTTGTTTACCTGCATGTCATGTGACCATTAACCAATACCAGATAACCGTGAACATGCAAATGTGAGACTGAATAATTAAAATATTTATTTTTAAATGCTTAAAGTAAATATATTAGATGAAAGAGGTTCAGTTGACAAAAATGTCTGGGAATGCCAGCATTACACGTAAATAAGAAATAACGTGAATTTGTGCATTTGAAAGTCAAAAGCCTTACAAAGGCATACTAATACATGGTTAAGTACCCCACTGAGCCATAATTCAAATACAAGACGAGTGTGTTCTTCAGTAGTTGACGCGGAGTTGAAATATGGAGAAAGCGCTTCTTAAAACTGAAATGATTTTTGTAAATCCAGAGGTCAAATGCTGTGTGGCCTCTCAATTTTCTGTGCAATTATAGCCATCTGACTAGTGTCTGGTCTTTGTGTGAAACTGGAAAACTTTCTGAATGTATACAAGCGGTAGGCTATTTTAGAAAGGAACCTTTAAAATATGAAAATATGGAGAATCAATAGGCTAAATTATAATGTATTGCTATTGTGTGAATATATCATCAATAAAAAAAGTAACTGTAGTCTGTAGAATTTTAAAGTGTGATTTAATCTGATTACAAGTGCTTAATTTTTGGAATCTGATTGCGTAATCCAGATTTACGTGTAACCAGTTACTACCCAGCGCTGCTAGTACCAGCAGGACAGACTGAGAATGGAATGAGTGTTTGGCTGATGCTGAACCTGCACTCCTGTGTCTCTTCTCCATCCAAATGTAGCAGTTGCTTTGAGCGACTCCAGTCTGGGAGTCCAGGAAGGGCATGAGGATGCTCCTCTCGGCACACAGCCGGGCGTTATAACTGTGACACTGCTCCAAAGCATCTTTATAGTACTGCTCTCCAAGCCTTCAGTCCACACACACACACACACACACACACACACACACACACGAGAGAGAGAATAACACATATAAGTTACTTCAAGGCATGTGATTTAGATTTACTGTTAATACACACATTCACTTTTGATTAGTTAAATCAGTCTTGGGAAAATAGCTGAGGATTATTTCTATAAAGCTACATTTGGTGCGTCACAACGTGCTGATCTGCAAACAATGGACCCCAATGAGAGGTACCAGTTTTTGCCAGTGTTAAAAAGCAAAGCCAACACTATAGACACTTTTGTTTATTAATTTTTTTAAAGATGAAAAAAAAATGCAGCAAAAGATTCAGTGACTGGTTTTTAAATAGATCTGATAAGAGAACACATGACTGTAGCGCGCTTTCAAGTCACACGACATGGTGGATTTTCATTATTAGCCAACCAAACACCAGCACAACGCTTCGGACTTAACGTTGACAACAAAACCGTCCCGAATCAGCCACACTTTGAGAATACCACACGGATATTCATTCAAAGAGTTTAAAAACTACATGTACTCACACTTTAACGATATTCTCCACGGCAGTCGCCATTGTTTTTGCTGTAGTGGGCTGTTGTTGTCTTCACTGCGCATGCGCACCAGCTGTCCTTTTTGAATAAACGCTACGTTCTCGTAAATATTTGATCCGTCATAGCAGATGGAAGCTTTGAATTGTAGAACATTTTTATTAAATATACTACCGACACACAAACGATACTTCGTATTAAGTAAGTTATTCAAAATAAATAAAACGCATTGATTTCATACCGCGGTGGGCGTGGTTACGGCTACATGACATCATCCGTCCGCACCGCCGCCATTTATATTTCGCCGCCATTTTACAGCAACCCAGCAGAGATTAGGTTACGAAGATGACGGCGCATATGGAAAATCAACTTTGCAAGCTGTTTGTCGGTGGTCTTAACGTCCAGACCACCGACGACGGGCTGCGAAATCATTTCGAGCAATACGGGAGTCTCACGGACTGCGTGGTCGTGCAGAACCAGCAGCTGAAGCGCTCGCGCTGCTTCGGTTTCGTGACCTACTCGAGCCCCGAGGAGGCGGACTCGGCCATGGCGGCCCGCCCGCACGTTCTGGACGGCAACAACGTCGAGCTGAAGCGGGCCGTGGCTCGGGAAGATGCGGGCAGGCCCGAGGCCCTCGCGAAGGTGAAGAAGATATTCATCGGCGGTCTTAAAGACGACATCGAGGAGGATCACCTTCGCGACTGCTTCTCCCAGTTCGGCGCGGTGGAGAAGGCGGAGGTGATCACGGACAAAGAGACCGGCAAGAAGCGGGGCTTCGGCTTCGTGTATTTCGAGGACAACGACTCGGCCGATAAAGCCGTGGTGCTCAAGTACCATGTTATTAACGGGCATAAAGTGGAGGTGAAGAAAGCCCTGACCAAGCAGGAGATGCAGGCTGCTGGGAGTCGCGGTGGCCGCGGCGGACGCGGCGGAAGGGGGATGGGCAGAATGCAGAACGGCTACGGCGGGCGCGGCGGCGGAGGATACGGCAACTATGGCGGCGGCTATGGGAGCAATGACGGCTACGGCGGAGGCTACGGAGGCGGATACGCCGGCGGGTATGGGGGAGGCTACGGGGACCAAATGGAGGGCTACGGCGGTGGTAACGGCTACAGTGACTTTGGCAGCGGCTATGGCCAGCAGTCCTCTGGCTATGGCCCAATGAAAGGTAATTACTCGGGCAGAAGCAGCGCTCCTTACTCCCGAGGAGGAGGTGGTGGTGGTGGTGGTGGTTACGGCAGGGGGGGTTACGGAGGCTCCTATTAGGAGCGTTTATTAGGTCTCACATTAAGAGCAGCTCCTTCCCCAGCCCACATCAGTTTCGACCACACATTATCTTCAGCTAAGTAGCCAGATCGAGCCACCTTAACGTAACGTGGCATTGACTGAAGCACTCAAGCTCCATTCAGTTGTTCACAACTTATCCAGCCTAGCAGATCATAGGTAGGGCTCACCTATCCGACTTTACTCAACATCTTACAGCTACTGTTACTACACATCCTTTTGCTCTTTTCCCTGAAGTACTAGGGATACATTTTTTTCCCAGCAAGACATAGGACTACTACTCTGGATCTCCTCTTATTATAAGACTGGCCAGTGTTGGCCGGGGCAGGCTACCTGTTCGCGAAACTGTTACTCACGTTTGTTTTTGTGCTTTGGGATTAAGTTAAGATTAGTATTTTTGCTTGTTAATTAGAGTAGGCATGTGTTTTTCTCCTTTTAGTGTATGTATTGTATCTTTATTGTGTCTGTGTTCTTTTTTCAAAACATTTATTAGTGCTGTCAAACGATTAATCGCAACCAAAATAAAATCTTTTGTTTACATAATATACGTGTACTGTGTATATTTATTATGTATATATAAATGCACAAACATGTTTATATTTGACAAATATTTACATGTATGCTTATATTCATATATAATTTATTATATATATTTTATATATAAACAAAAACAATTCTTAAATATATACATGCATGTGTGTGTATTTATATATACATAAATATGCACAGTACACGTATATTATGTAAACTAAAACTTATTTTGGCTGCGATTAATTGCTTGATAGCACTAATACTTAAATCTGGTTTTGATTGAGAGCCAATAGCAGTGAAACCCTGTAGAGATTCAAAAATTCATTGGCTGAGCAGGCATTATTTGCATATCACGTGATGTATTGAGTGCTCAGTACCTGAAGTAAAAATCCCATTCATTTTCTTCATGAGGCAAGACAGACCCACTGTAAGTGTAAATGGTGTTATGCTTTTGTTGAAGCGTTATTTCAACTCATTTTGCAAGTCTGTGGTAATTAACCATGATTCTTCAAAAAAATCTCCAATCGGAGAATTAAAATTGGCATATTTTGCAATAAACGTAAAATGTTTGTTCTGTATACACACTCGATATCTTCAAATCAATAGTTTTATCTGTCATTCGCAGTGCTTCTTGGGATTGCAGTACTTTCCGGCATGGACCGGTTTTGCTTTTTTGCTTCAAATCCAAAGATTGTAATGCTTCGGCTCATAGCTGATTGGTTTGAGTGATTCGTAGGTCTTTAACAAATGCTATTTAAAAATGAATGGGGAAACATACTCCAGAAAACCAAGGCAGCTGAAAAATTGGGGCACTGTTGCATTCAATTAAAGCACTTGCTGCAGAGTCTGCTGCCAACCAATGAAAGATTGAACTTTTATTTAATTAGGCTCGATGGCAACTAGAAGTTGTTCGTCCTATCATAAGAAACGTGTTGGAATAAACAGAAAATTCTTTGGCGTCTCAGTAAAAAAAGTAGCAAGTTAAAAGAACTAGTTTCATCTTCGAATGTTCAGGCTCACTAAAACAACCCTCAACATCCGTTAATATAGTGATTTAACATGTGTCCCCTCCCAATTAGTGTAATTTGTTAAATAGTTAAAGCACATTATGAAAATATTGTCATTGGTGTTACAGTGAACCTTTTGGTCGGGACTCTTAAAGACCGATTTTGAGTTGTTTTTCTACCGTTTAATTTAGTAAAGGACTTAAATGCTCTTGTCTCATTGTATTACTGCTTCAACGGAATAACCTATTGAATATTGTTTATTTCAGATACAACTGAACTGTATGCATTTCTGTTAATAAAAGTCATTACTCCGTAGCCATTATGGTTTATGACGAGCTGAGATTTTTATTGGGTGGTTTTGACGTATGTGAGGTCCATGTAGCGATTTTGTCTTTCCATCTAGGTAAGACTAAAACTGGAGGCCGCCCTTTGCCTTTATCAGGCATTGGCTCTAGTGCTCCATATTAATGACTTTTCTTTGCATCAGACATGTGGAGATGTCAATATTTTCCCAACCATATGTTGTCTTTATTCTTAAAATATGTTTAGAGCTTTGTTCCAATACTTTTAGTGATCAAATAAGATGGATCTATACCTTAGCTGTGTCCACTACTACGTCATTGGATTCTCCAGGGCTACTCCAGAGATGTAGAAACCCAGCTGAAAATCCATAGGATAATCGCACCAGGTTTCCAGGTTTGTAGAAATGCTCTATACACCAGACATTACATCAGGTGTGTCTTTAACATACTTTGGATCCACCTGGAACGAAATCAGGTATTTGTGAGTCGTTAACGTAAAGCGTGCATGCAACTTTATTTCAGTATTTCCTAAATACTAGCTGTGAATGGCGTTAACTGGCGGTGACCATGTAACTTAGAGGAAAAGTGGAAATTAGAACATGCTCTGTAGTTCAATGTGGTGATTGTGGTCTATGTAGTTATGTCTTAATCCAATATTTTAGCCGATTTCCAGTTTAAGGTCAAACCGGAGAACGGAGCTTATAGTTCCTGTATACTTGACGCATTAGTTCCAGATATTAATGACATCAAATGCAAAGGAGATCAGCATTTATTAAGCAAGGTTTGTGCTTTCAGTTATTTACTTTACATCTTATCAATCCCCCTCCCCTCCTCATCTCGGTGTTTTGCTCGTGTTTTGTCCTACATTTCTGGCACGCTAAGAGGGCAGTGATAATTCAGTGAGACTAGTGAAGATGCAACTGTACAACCTCTTGGCATTGGCCTTTTCAAAAGTGAGATGTGCTGCTGTCATTTTCAAAGCACTCCTCCTACATAGACCCTTCTTAAAGGCACAGTGTGTAAATCTGAAGGGGTTGTGTAGATAGACATGTTTCAGGACACCACTTGTTGACTTGACGCTTACATGCTTCTGCATCTGTCTTCATTTTCCACAGAGGGAATGCAATGGAAGGATTTAAATAAAATCTCGCTTCTAAGCGCTGCCGCTTGATGAACCTCTGCTGCGGCTGTGAATCCAGTTGCTCTGAAAGATGAAGGAAGAGCTCCAGTGAGTTTGGTAAGCAGGTTAAAAAAAAAAATCTGTTCTACAGTCAGTCACACCAATTATATTTACAGAATTTCCTTTTGTCCGTCTTTGCGTTCTAGCAGAGTTTGCATATGAGCACATGTGCATGGACCTCCGAGAGGCAAGATGCCCATGGTAAGATTTAAGAAGTTGAACCCTGACAATGAATGTCTTGCATTTCAGTGATTTGAAATCAAAATATATGTAGATTACATAATTCTTTTGAGTTTACCATGATCTTTTTGTGGGGTTGAGATTTTGATTTGATCAACTCATGGGAGCGTACATTGCAATAAATATGGTTCTGCTTGGAAACATTTTGCATATTTAACCTCCGGAGAACCAGAATTTTTTTTTTTTGTCATGACATTGGTTGGAGCATAAGAAACAAATGGAGAAAAGACATTTTTGAAATGTATATGTATAATGCATGTATAGGCAAATGCGATGTTTTCTTTTTTCATTCACCAGTTTTTAGGTTTCAGGCTATATTTAACCAAACTTTAAACAAAGACGATTCTCAACTATGTTAGGAAAGATATAACAGAATGATTTGATATACTGTTTTACTTCATGCAATACGTGCATAAAATGTCTATAAATTGTTATTCCCATTCTATACAGATTGCATCTAATTTGCATATTGATGTGTTCTTGGGGCAAACCACAATGAACAAAAGTGTTATGTTGATCTATAATTTCTTTCCCTATTGACATCTTGTCTCCCCAAAATGCCTGATTAAAGGGATACTCCACCCCAAAATGAAAATTTTGTCATTAATCGCTTACCCCCATGTCGTTCCAAACCCGTAAAAGCTTTGTTCGTCTTCGGAACACAATTGAAGATATTTTGGATGAAAACCGGGAGGCTTGTGACTGTCCCATTGACTGCCAAGTAAATAACACTGTCAAGGTCCAGAAAAGTATGAAAGACATCATCAGAATAGTCCATCTGCCATCAGTGGTTCAACCGTGACGTTATGAAGCGACGAGAATGTTTTTTGTATACGAAGAAAACAAAAATAACGACTTTATTAAACAAATCGTCTCGTCTGTGTCTCTCCGCATCACCGTAGCGCCATTTTGGAGAATATCCGCTGAACGCAATCAGCATACGCGTTTCCGTGTCAGCCACGACACAAGGATTCGTTTTCTACATGTATTTAAGCTTTGATTTGAACGAAAACAGCGCATCCCTGCAGCGCGGCTGACAGAATGGCGTAAGCAGTTTGCGTTCAGTGGTTATTCGCCAAAATGGCACTACGGTGATGCGGAGAGACACAGAGGAGACGAATTGTTGAATAAAGTCGTTATTTTAGTTTTCTTCGCATACAAAAATTATTCTCGTCGCTTCATAACGTCACGGTTGAACCACTGATGGCAGATGGACTATTCTGATGATGTCTTTCATACTTTTCTGGACCTTGACAGTGTAAGTTACTTGGCAGTCAATGGGACAGTCACAAGCCTCCCGGTTTTCATCCAAAATATCTTCAATTGTGTTCCGAAGACGAACAAAGCTTTTACGGGTTTGGAACGACATGGGGCTAAGCGATTAATGACAATTTTCATTTTGGGGTGGAGTATCCCTTTAACATGCCGTGTGTCCTGGTGTCCTCTACAGAAGACATGTATGAAAATTATCCCTTGTTTCGTAACAAAAAGTCATATTTGGATTTGAAACCCCATAACATTTTTCTGAGATGTTTATTTACAACAAACAATTAGAAAATTAGCCAGATATAAATGATAATTACAAAATATCATATTTCCCTAAGAGTGCTAAATTTGATAATATCAGTCATATTTAAAGACCAAGGAGAGGGAGTGTTTATGATCAAACCTCCAAACATTTGATATCCCTAAAAAGCCCTGAATGTGCTCCGTACATCCAGACTTAAAACTGTGGTCTTCACTAAAATATGTCCTCTACAGAGTACAAAAGTCTATGCCTGGGTCCCAGTAGATTAAATCTGTCATGCTCTCTTCTCTGGAAAATGTCTTCTCTTTGTTTTTACAGACCTGTGCCAAGATGATGCCATGAGAAGGCAGCTGCATTCGGCTCCTGTGACTGGAGTTGAATCAAATGCATAATGGCGAAGTGATCACTGAACAAGAATAATCCTGGCATTGAATGTCTGATGAATTCAATAATAAAAAAAAATAACTGGATAACTTTTGAGTCTGCTGTTAATGTTTGCATGCATCAAGTGGTGTTACAGAGAAGCTAGAAAACGAACATTTACCAAGCTTTAAACTATAACAGTATAAATGATTAACTTTAATAAAGCTGATAAGGGCCACAGAAGCATGATAGTGGTGTGACGTGGTTGTGCTCCGAAGCGTCGCCTTGGAGATCGTGGAACGATTGTGGCACTGTTGCCAGGCGACGCGATGATGATGATGATGATGGAGGACCGTTACGACGGTCTCGGGTGTAAAAGTCAGTGAGCCCAGCGATAGCTGCGAGCTGCTAACCACTCCGGTAAACAACCCCGGGCACATTCAGGGCTTTTTAGAGATATCAAATGTTTGGAGGTTTGATTATAATAAACACACTTTCTCCTTGGTCCTTAAATATGACTGATATTGACAGAATTACCAAATGTATCACTCTTAGGGAAATATGATAACGTTCTGTAATTATCATTTCAATCTGGCTAATTTTCAAATTGTTTGTCATAAATAAAACATCTCAGAAAAATGTTACGGGGTCATAGATGAAACAGGTCATAATTTTTATGCTTGTTTTCTGTAGAGGACACCAGGACAAACGTCATGTTAAATCAGGCATTTTGGGGAAACAGAAGAAGTCAATAGGGAATGAAATTATAGTTCAATATTCCTATGAAATATGAGATATTCTTATGAAAATGACTCCAAGTTATTACTCCCATTATTACACTTATTTTTTCATTATGGTTTGCCCCAAGAACGCATTAATATGCCAATGTATAGATACATTGTATAGAATTGGAATACCAATTTATGGACTTTTTACGCACATATTCCATGAAGTAGAGTAGTATATCAATATTTTCTCAGCTGCTTGATTTAATGCGTAAGGCATGGAGATATTAAGATATTATGAACATTAAAATCATTATTTTCTACAACGTGTATTGTGAAAAGCACCATACAACTAAATCTGACTTGACCTGAAGTAAATTCTCAGTCGTGTTAGTGTAAGCTGCATGTCCACAAGATATTTCTGGCCTACATTTCCCAAAAGCATCGTAGAGACTGTTGGCACCAATGGCTTCTACAATCTCGGTGGGCATACGATACGTTTGGGAAAAGCAGTCCTTGTCTAGATCCTTAGTTTTCTTTTATTTTCTTCCTAATCACAGTCGGAAGATGCTTTGTGACGTTCTGCTGGTGGCGGGTGAAGTGGAGGTACCGGCACACAGAGTAGTTTTAGCGTCTTTGGGGAAACAGAAGAAGTCAATAGGGAATGAAATTATAGTTCAATATTCCTATGAAATATGAGATATTCTTATGAAAATGACTCCAAGTTATTACTCCCATTATTACACTTATTTTTTCATTATGGTTTGCCCCAAGAACGCATTAATATGCCAATGTATAGATACATTGTATAGAATTGGAATACCAATTTATGGACTTTTTACGCACATATTCCATGAAGTAGAGTAGTATATCAATATTTTCTCAGCTGCTTGATTTAATGCGTAAGGCATGGAGATATTAAGATATTATGAACATTAAAATCATTATTTTCTACAACGTGTATTGTGAAAAGCACCATACAACTAAATCTGACTTGACCTGAAGTAAATTCTCAGTCGTGTTAGTGTAAGCTGCATGTCCACAAGATATTTCTGGCCTACATTTCCCAAAAGCATCGTAGAGACTGTTGGCACCAATGGCTTCTACAATCTCGGTGGGCATACGATACGTTTGGGAAAAGCAGTCCTTGTCTAGATCCTTAGTTTTCTTTTATTTTCTTCCTAATCACAGTCGGAAGATGCTTTGTGACGTTCTGCTGGTGGCGGGTGAAGTGGAGGTACCGGCACACAGAGTAGTTTTAGCGTCCTGCAGTCCTTACTTCTGCGCCATGTTCACAGGTACTACATCACAACCTAATGCTTTTCTCACACTGATGTGAGCCACATGTTCCTCACGGCACTCTGATGTTCTTCAACACTTAGTTTAGATCTGCGATTATTTAAAAAATTTAAATTCTGTCATCATTTACTCATCGTTGTGCCGTTCCAAGCTGGAAAACACAAAAGAAGATATTTTGAAGAATGCTGGTGACCAAACCGTTTCGGTGCCCACTGACACGAACTAAAATACTGTGATTATCAAAATATCTTCTATGTTTCACAGAAGAAAGAAAGTACAACAAGTTTGGAACAACATGAGGGCGAGTAAATGACAGAATTTTGATTTTGGGTGAACTATCACTTTGGTGAAGATTGACCATCTAATTATTTGCAAGATATTTGTAGCAGCATGAGTAATATTATATATAAATAAACTGTTTCTGCATAAATAAACATGATGCTCATTCTTCCTTTTTTAAGCCTTATTAAGATCTTTGATTAAGAGTTCGTGTTGTGCTTGATGTGTCCAGGTGACATGAGTGAAAGCAAGGCTCACCATGTGGAGATCAGGGATGTTGATGGACAGACGCTCTTGAAGCTGGTGGATTATATTTACACCGCTGAGATTGAAGTGTCTGAGGATAATGTTCAGGTAATGTACTGTTTCAAATCTATCTAATGACTAGCTCTTGCGCTCTCTGGCTCTGGAGATCTGGTACTCTGTTATGAGTGCTGAGAGGCAGGGTATTTCCTCTCATTATTAGCAGAGGAAATGACCAGAGCGAGAGAGGAAATTTTCTGTGATGTGCACTTTGCCCTTGCATTGGAGCTCTATTGTCCCAGTACGTTCTGTCGTTTGTATGTGGGGCTTTTGTTTGGATGTACAGAAGACAGCGGTGGAGAACAGATGATCTGAGAAGCTTCAGGAGCAGCATGAAGTGGCCTAGTTTTCATCTGGATAGGATTGACAGATGCTCTGGTGGGGGTAGCGGCTGTTTATGGCTTAGTTGATCCATGGGGATTTTAACAATGTCATTCAGTGCAATGATTCACCTTATGTTATATTTCCCTATAGGCCATTTTCTTTCATTTTCTAGGAAGAAAGTGGCCATTGAGTTACAATGTGCAGATGCTGTTTTCTGGCCTGTACTTGTATGCTAAGTAGCCGATGCTGGGTTAAATTCATTTATTTTCCTAATTCACCATTTTAATTAATATTAATTTAGTATACCAGTAGAGGTGGAGACTATAGCTTCTACGATGATCTATTTATAATTCAGCCTCTATTAGAATACTTTTTTATTTAAAATGAACAATAATAATATTTAATTAATTTCAGTTTACTTACTGAATCATTAATGATAACAGATTAAAAATTATAGGCAGTAGTGTTTCTAATTAGTATGTACACTACTGTCAAAAGTTTAGGTCAGTAAGATTTTATTATTTTCTTAAAGGGGTCCTATTATGCTCTTTTACAAAGTCTTGATTTTGTTTTGGGGGTGTACTAGAACATGCTCTCATGCTTGGTGGTTTGAAAAACGCATTATTTTTCACATAATTTACATTATTAAAATACCT